AGGGCCCCTCTGGGGCCCCCCCGGCCCACCCCCCCTGCCGAAGCAGGGTTACCTACAGCAGGCTGTAGAGGACCTTGTCCAGGCGGGTCTTGAACATCTCCAGAGAAGGAGACTCTACAACCTCCCTGGGCAACATGGTACATGCTTTTAAGGACAGTAGGTGGGAATATCTCCCTATCTATACATAGAAGTAGTCACTTTGCTGAATCCATCATACAATGGGTTCCTATTTGTGCAGTAATTTTGAAATTCAAGACGCGCATTCTGAGCAGACATCACTCCAGCAGCACCAGAGGAAACTGGTTGGTGCTTTCACGGCAATGTTTTAATAGCTCATTTGAGAAGTACCCCGCTGCGGCACAAAACAAAACTACAAGATGAAAATACACGGCCCAGTTTACTTACAGGTAGAAAGGATCATGTCTGGTTGTATTCGCTTGTATTCAAACGAAGATGCAAACCTCTCTTCACCAGCTGTGCCAGTAAAACAGCCCTAGCTGAGCTCTCCACTCCGAGACGAAACACGGTAAACCACAAACTCCGCCTACCTACCTTTTTTTTTTTTTAAAAAAAAAAAAAAACATAAAAAACATCCCAAACAGACTGCACACTAATCTCAGCTGTTTAAAAAAAAAAAAAGAAAAAAGTGTCTGCTTTCTGGAATTCAACATACATTTTACAGAAAAAAAATTATTCAACTGCAATAGGTAGGACAAAGTATTCCTTTAAAAAAAAAGGGAAAAAACCACAACAGATGTATATCACAACATTTGGTTCTGTTCAGATGAATTTTTGACCCCAACATTGAAAAAACTCATAATAAAAAGGGGAAGAAGGACTGAAGTTGCTTAAGGATGACTGAGCTCATCCAAAATAAACAATGGTGCAGTATTTCAAACCATCTTTGATGACATCAGAGATTCAGCAAGACAGCTGCCTCCAGAGGCATTCTGATCCTTTCCAAAATTAACCACCTAAGGCTCCATTCAGCTGAAAAAATGCTTTCATCTAAAAATTAGGTGTCTCACAGTTCCTGGCATCCAAAGTATCAAGGCCAGTGGCAGGTAAGCAGAAATTATCCTCGGGTACTGGGAAGAGGCAGGCAAAGGGGTCGGACTCAAAGCACCCACCTCAAAAAGTCAGAGGTTAGGGGGTGTTTTATCATAGAAATTAATAATAAATATGTATGTAAACAGGCTTAAGGTTAGTTGGAAACTATTAATCTCCTGATTTTCCTATGCTTCATCTGTGTTTTAAGGGAAGCATTGCTTGTTACTGTAGTATTCCTCATGACAAAGTGGTGGCAATGCCATACTTTGCAGGGTCTCCACTCAGAAAACGAGGTGCAAAGGAGCAGTTTGGGAAGGAAAGATGAGCTCAGCTTACCTTAGATCTTCCATGCTCCTTTTTCTACTACAGGTGGAAATCCCCAGATTTTTCCCTTTAGCAAGACATGTGGTTGGAATTGATGGAGTCGTGGCTTGGACTCACCACTTTGAGAGGTTTGTTCGCATAGTTGTGACAAACTTCCGAGACTTTGTCGTTAAGAAGAACAAAATGGCAGTTTAAATCTTTTCTGACAGCTTGTAACTTTGCCATGAAGCAGCACAAGAAAAGCAAAGCATTTCTTCCAAGCAACAAGAGCTTCCTCCTTTTGAACATAAATTTTTAGGCAAAGCAGTGCGGGGACCTAAGCATCTCCAAAACTGGTTACAGAAATACTCAAGTGCAAAAATGATGGGATGTATTAAGCTAACTATAGTTACCTTTTAATAATTTGATTGGAAATCAACTCCACCATAGTCCGCTCTGCCTAATCGCAAAAAAATCAGAAAAAAGTTTTTGTACAACTATTTTCTGTTACACGTGGCGCAAGGGCACGAGTAACAAAAGGAAAAAAGACAACATGTAATGGAGTAACTCAGGAGGTGGCCACAGCAAAACTGAAGTGCAAATACTCCTCGCATCCACCGGTCCAACGCCAGGGTGGTGGAAACAGGCTGCAGTAAGGCCGTGAAGACATCAGCCTCTGGCAGAGGGGGAAGGACACGCAACTTCCAATGAGAGTTCAGGCATTTTGACTCTGAACATCTCAAGGTGGTCAAATTCACTGAAATATCTGTTCATACTACTGTATATAGATTTAGTGTAGAGTGTGTATACACACAGACATATATACACATGGATTATCATAACACCACGTTCACATGAGCAACGAGTTTGGCTTAGGACGCACTGACAGCAAGTTATTGGCACCACATGAGTTGGGTCCAAGCAACAGTTAACGTTCAGTTTATTTACATACACGTGTCGTATGATATTTTCTGTTAAGAACAGAAAGGTTAGATCACTGTACGCACAGATGACAGGCAGAAGGAGGACCCCTCCTTCAACACCCTTGAGAGTGTACTTTCTTTCATTTACAACCCCGTGGATGGAGTCGTGTACGTAAGTGAAGGTAGGACAAACTTGTGCTTGAAAATTTCAAGAAGAAAACACACTTTGTATAAATAAATGCATGGAATTTCTATATTTACAATACATACAGCATATAAATTATTTCATAATTAATCCAAAACAAGGTACTATGGTACACTGACAGCCAGTTGTGCTGAACCTTGGATTTATCTTTCAGAAGTAACATCAAGACTAAGCATGGGAGCTCTCTGGTTGACCAAACAGCCGAGAGTGTCTTGGGGCATATCATGGCTCAGGTCTGAAGCAAAGCTTTTGGAGCGTTACACTAAACTGAAGACTGTGCTGTCAACAACCTGCTCTGTGCAAATGGAAGAGGCACGTTTTGTGCTCTTGATGTGCCATAAAACACCTATCGACTGAGAAGAAGAATGCTTCTGGAGGATCTCTGGAAACATTTCAATGTCAGTAAACAGCCGTTTATAGATACCTTCAATTTTTAAGCATGCAAATCACTACTAATTCTACTGCCCGTGTAAAGAGAAACTTGGAAACATGGACTGTATATACAGGAACCCAACCCAGTAAACGCAAATGAAGCTCCTGGGCTTTGGCCACATTCTCTCTCTTCCTCCATAAAGAGTTCAACTTGCCAGCTATGCAACGCTGACTTTTCAGAGAAAACAGAGAGACTGCTAGCATTGCTGAAGATACTGTGCTCATTTCCCAACATCATGTAAAACTCTTCTTGAGCCGAAGCGGATCAGACGTTAGAAGTTCCCCACGCTGTTTAGCAGCATCCAGCAGCTTACAGGATCAAGCCATTAAAAAGAAATGGTGAAGCCACCTCTCTGGAAAGCGGCTTCTTTCCTGTACTTGTGCTGCTGTTGTCTTTTTTTTTTTCTTTTTTTTCAGAAAGCATCTTCACCCTCTGCAATGTCAATGATTGTGTGAAGCAAGTCTTCAAACGTTGGGCGTCCCTCTGGTTTCTAAAAACAAAAGCATGCACAAGTTGATCAGAAAGCAATCAAGTTGGGTTGATTTTGATAAATTATTGGTCTTGATACAATTCTGTGGCAACAAATTTACTGTTTCATTAAACGTGACATGCAAAAATATTTCCTTATGAAGGTTTTAGATGTATCCCTTAATTTCAGTAAGCGGCACTTTTTTATGCGTTGAAGAAACATGAATAGGTGATGCTGGACTACATTCTTCACATAATTATTTTTCCATATCACTACACTTTTTCATTTGTCTCGCCATCGCCAGCACCCCCAACAAGTTGCTCCGATCTTCCTTTAAGCGAGTTGCTCACGCTCCTAAGAATTTTCCGTGTCACTCTCTGAAGCCTCTGCACCTCAGCGGTGTTGTTTGGACTCCGAAATGAGACCGTGTTATGGACTTATGCAACGTCATCTTTCAGCTGCTGTATTTATTCTCCATACAGTGCCTTATGTGTCATAACGTCCTGCTTGGTTTGTTTAGTTACAGCAACACACTGAGGCCACCTCTGCACGGACCTTACGGACACAATGAATGTCTGCTGAAGGTCTGGGTAACCTGCACCTTTTCTCCACTTCACATCCTAATTAGATTTGTATCACCTGCTGAATTTCAAGCCTCGCTACTCACTTCCCTCTAGAAATTATTAATTTATTAATCAAGGACTGAGGTACCTACAGTTCATCTTAATTTATGACAAAGATTGATGGTATGTTGCCGTTATTTGTGTCCTCTGCGATTCACGAAGATTCTCTCCTACATGATGACTGCTGAGATTTTGTTGTTAACAACCCCTGATTAAATCAATACAGTTTTAACCAATTCATTGATGTTCATATAAATCCTGTAAACAGATACTAACATTCAAAGAGCGTTAACAAACAACTTATCATTATCTTCCAGGTAATTTATTGTTCAATGACCATTTCAAGCTGGTTACCAAGCGCGAACAAGATTTTATCGTCTGCAATCCCCTGGCTCCTATGAATTGCCTATTTGAACCACAGACACGACTGTCACTCCTTGGCCCTCCCGGGCACTGTTGTTTTTAATTTTATTTTTTTTTTCTGCATAAACCCATTGCTTTGTACAGTTGCGATCTCCACCAGTTGGTTTGATGACCAGTTGGTCTCTGTTCCAGCACCTTCTCTTCCAAAACAAGTGTCAGCCACCTTTATTACTGGAAGAGAGCAGTCTTCCCCCAGCACCCCCTGTGGCAAAGACTAACCAGAAACAGATCACGTCGCTCTTTCCGTTCGTGGTTTCCTTGATTGCTCTCTCAGAATTAGAGACATCTCATTAAACGCACCTATCCTCTTAGAGACTTTCTGCTTTAATACTACAAAATCTACTTTACATTTATTTAGTTGAGTAAGTATTAAACTCGGGTTTGCTGCCCCTCTGACCTCTGTGAAAACGGTACAGTCGCTATCTTTCTGGCTTAGGAGCATTCACAGTACAGTGCATTTTTATCTTTCTTTATCATAGAAATTAATAATAAATATGCAATTATTGTATATAAACAGGCTTAAGGTTAACTGGGAACTATTAATCTCCTGATTTTCCTACATAAGGAAATATTTTTGTATTTAGACGCATTTGTATTTAGATTCAACTGCAAGTTAATCTATATTTCCTATATAATTTATAATCTAGCAATGAAGTATTCCTTTAAAAAATATTTTTGGTCATTCTGGCGTGTTGCTGGAATGATTAATAAACTGAGGCAACACAAAATCAGATTTCTCCACCTCTGGGCCGTTCTGACGGAATTTTTCTTGCTAGCAGTATTTGTACACAGATATAATCGTGACGAGCGCAGATTTAGCAGTTATTTAATTTTGTCACTAAATGCCTTTGCATACTTCATCTGACAGTCCATTGATTTCACAGAAATTCCCTCCATGGTTTTTCTTATCAGAGCTCCAGTTCAGTGGCAAAGCAGGGGGAGATCTTCGCCTTAGCAATAAACACGTGAATAGCGGAGAGCGCCAGACACAGTCAGAATGCTGCAACGGAGATTTACCCCTCTTGCCAGATTGACCTTTTTTTCAATTCAAAGATAAAAAAATTAAATGAGTATATACCTCTTGCCAGCACATCACCATGATTTCGTACACCTGCTTACAGGCTAGTTTGGGCCGATACAAACGATGTCCTTGGCTAACCATCGTTACCACTTCATAGTTGGAGCTTTTTTCAAAGGGCATTTTTCCCTCTGTAAATACTTCCCACATTAATACACCTTAAAAAAAAAAGAAAAGAAAAGAAATATTAAGAAAATAAACCAAGAGCTTCTTAAAAATATATGTTTATTTTGTGCCCTGGGCTCAGGATTTCTGACAGATAAATAGTTTGAGATCCATATTCTAGAAAGTGTTTGTGTGTCATCACTGAAAACATCTTATTCTAGTAGCTTGGGTTTTAGTAAATAACAGTTCTAAAGATCTCTGTGGAACTTTATGCGAGCATAAAACTGTGGCAAATGGATTCTCCGAGCTTCTTCTCAGATGCCTGAATCCTTCCCAGTAGCTGGAGCTTAACTGCTATTGATAAAATATAAAAATAGTGGTTTCTTTCAATGATGAATGCCTTACCAAATGACCAGACGTCTGACTTGCTGCTGAATCGGCTGTAATTGAAAACTTCGGGGGGGCACCATTTCACAGGAAATTTAGCCCCCGAGGAACTTGTGTATTGATCATCAAGGACATACCTAGAAATAAATGAAAAAAAAAAAAGAAAACCATGGTATCTTTCAGCCAGGCTCCAAGGCTACAGATGATAACTCAGATTTGACTATTCGAAGCTGGCATTGCCACCTAATGGCCGTGCCTGTTAGCATCGCACGAGAAAAAATAGCTTCTCTGGCACAGCACCAGGGTTTCACTCGAGACCCAGGTCATTTTTCTTATGACCTGAGAGTCTTCTTTTCTGATTATTAGCTATACAACACAGGTTTAGGCCACCTGCAAGTTAAATGTCTGTATTACAAGAGAAAGTGATGCACAAGCACAAAATTCTCGCTCCGTTTCTCACCGGCCAGTCTGAATTCCGATGTCAGGGACGTGCAAGCTCAGTAGCACGGAAAGGTGGCAGAAGCCAAGAGCAGTATGATCAGACCGTGGTGCTTCAACACCTTCCTGGTAGGCGCTGCTCCCCACCCACACATCACCCACCTGATGTAGCACCCATGGATGCTAACGAGGGCAGGAAACTAACCCCTCACCATGTCTCAGCACCTCCCAACCCTTTGGCTAGTGCAACACATCTCTGAACTATCCACCCTAGGAGGACCCCAAACTCACTGAACAGCCTCTTTCTACCATTTATTTACCAAAATACAGATTAATGGCTGTTGTCTCTGCAGCGTGAGCTCCGCTGTCCGAGACACAAGCTCCAATATGCCTCCTGCATCACTACAAGGTTAAAATTTCTTAAGCTTTTCCCAGAAAGATGCTATCAGAAGATCAGTCAGACCACGGAGTCAGTTCAGAGCCAGGACTTTCATGGTAAGAGCTAGACGCACTTAGTTCTCTAGAGAATAAACTGCCTAGCTTTGATTGTCCAGAATTAAAATCCAGTTTTAACCAATTCATTGATGTTCATATAAAACATAAGGAAATCAATACATGATAGCAGAACAAACAAGTTTTAAGCACACTGGGAAAAAATGAACCAAACAATCTCCCTAGAGATGTCAAAAAAGCTCATTTTTGCTGGCACGTGTTGCCTTATGTCTAAGACCAAGGCTTAGGTGAACGTTCCCCAATCCCCATTGATGCGTTCGCACACTCAGCCCTACCTTGTCATGCCAAAATCCGACACTTTGACTACTCCCGAGTCACTCACCAAGCAGTTCCTGGCAGCCTGCAAAGGGAACGGTTAGAGCTGGGTGAAAAAACTTGCAGTTGCTTGCGGCCAAATCACAACGTTCGAATGGAGACACTGTCCCCATTGCTAGCGAGTTCACCAGTTTACCCAGTTCAGCAGTGTATTCTCATCATGGTCCAGAATAAGAGGTGTGAGTGCATTTGCCCTTCCTAATACTGTTTTGACAACTAAACTAAAATGCTTACAAATATCTGCAGGGTGGGGGTCAGGAGGATGGGGCCAGACTCTTTCCAGTGGTGCCCAGCGACAGGACAAGGGGCAACAGGCACAAACTGAAGCAGAGGAAGCTCCAGCTGAACCCGAGGAAGAACTTCTTCCCTCTGAGGGTGACGGAGCCCTGGCCCAGGCTGCCCAGGGAGGCTGTGGAGTCTCCTTCTCTGGAGATAT